CCCCAAAACCCCAAAACCCCTATGGTCTGAATTAGAAAATAATTAAGAATTTAAATTTAAGAATATACAGTCAATAAAAATGTTCGATGATGAGTATGTTGATAACGACTTTCTAGATGATGGTAAGCAACAGCTCCTATTAATCTAATTAATTATATAGACTATGGAGAGTCTCTTAAACCTTAGAACAAAGCATAGGATTAAAGATTACTAGCGAATCTTAACAGACTACCTACAATTGGATAGAAATCAGGACTATTTGAGGATGAAATACAGCCAAGATCAACTTCTACTAAAAACAAAAACAGCAAACTTAGCAATAATAAACCAATTCTTCCACCAACTTAAAAGGCTAATTTTAAACTTGATTAGGACTCAGAGGATGATATAGATTTAGGCAGTGACGAAGACGATGAAGACTTTGGAGATAATCTCTACTTCAATCAAAAGTCAAAGCCAAGTATAAATATAAATTAAGAACATAAAAAGTCAAATTTGCCTTCAGCTCCTCAAGAAAAGGAGAAAATTCTACCTTCAATTACAAAGAGCAATGCAACTCAGATAAAAGTAATTGATCACTAGAACTCTTAAAATAGGGGTGCTAATTCCAACTCAAAATTAAGCAATCATAACCTGAATAACGATTCAGCATCTTCAGCTCAGATCAAAGACTAAAAGTATATGTAAAGTGACACAAGAAAATATAACCCCCTTAATCTGAACTCTTATGAGTAACTGAGTGAGGATGAGTTCTATAATAATGAATCACTTAATGCCTCCAAGCAAATTAAATCAGCCAAACAATAGCAATAATAGATATAGCAGCCCCAGGTGAAACCATCACTGAATATAAACAGCAATAAAAATGCTAGCTAAGAAAGCTAGAGTAGTGTAAGCAAACAATCCACTTAAAAACAACCTATATAAATGATAGAGTAACAATCTAAAAATAATAATAATAATGGTAACGCTTAACGATAGAGTTAATAATAGAATGTGCAGATACTTAAAGAAAACTACTCGTTAAATTCAATAGCTAATAGTCATGCTTCAGATTCTCTGACTCACGGTGGTGATGATGAGGAGCCCTTCAAGTAGAACATAAAATCTCAGAGTAACTCAATTGAGGGCTAGAAATACTTAGATGACATTAAAAAGCTAGACCCACCATAATAATTTAATAATCTTAACAATACCTAGTCTTCAAAAGCCAGCAATTTAGATGCTAGAAGGCAATAGAACAGTAACTCCACTATTAACTAGAGTAATGTAACTAAAACCTCAATAAATAGCACTCATAACAACTAGCCATTAACATAGCAATAGAGTTTGCTGTAGTAGCCGTCTGCTTCTGCAAAGATCAGCAGCAGACCTCCCCTTAATAATCCCAATAATAGATAAGGGGCTTCTAGTCTTCCAGCAACTTAGAATAGAGATAGAGACAGCGATAGTGTGGAGAGAATGGCTTAGATTAATGAGAAATTGAAGCAGGAACTGCTAGATGTCATTAATAAAATGGAAATGTAACTCAAGAAATTTGAGGAAAAGCGAAGAGCTAAAATAGAATCTGAATTACAAACAAACACAGCTATGATTGACAAAAACAAAAAGATCAAAATGGGCTAGAATAAATTTTAAAGGATAAAGCAAGAAGTATAAGAGATGTGGGCTTAACTTGAGCATTCATATAACATTGAACTCATTAATAAACTTGAAGATGAGTTGAAGGATAAAACCAACAGACTACATCAAGCTAGATCAGAAATAGAGTCAGTTTAAAAGATAGAAAAAGAACAGAATGGAGCTCTAGAAAATCTCAACAGGAACAAAGAAAATTCCAATAAGATTTCTAACTTGAGTAATTAGCTAAGGGTACAAAAGGATGAATACAAAAGACTCAAAGATTTAAATCTTTAAGATTAGAAATTAATGAAGCAACAGCATGAGCAAGTTATGAGGTTGGAAGAAAAATGCAAGAAGATTCAGATCATGATCAAGGATTCTAAGAACAAGAACACAACTTAAAGAAGCAATATGCCTCCAATGGTAACAGATTTAACTAAGTCCAGACTTGAAGACGAAGTTAAAGAAATGGATGAGCAAAGAATTAAAGACGAAAAGAGGTATAAGTAGCAAGTAGGGAAACTTGACTAACAACTTAAGCAACTCAATCATGAGCTATAGATTCTAAGCATCAAACTTAAGGAAAAAGACTAAGAGGTTAAATTGAATGAACTTAAGATAAGAGAGCTAAAGAAGTAGGTACCTAATACAAAACTTAAGCCTCTGAACCGTAAAGATGGAAAAGTCAACATGAGTGTCGATACAAGACTGAATGATGATTTTGACTCACTTATTGAAGAGTAAGTACTATAATTTAAGTTTAATTTAAAACTTATAGGGAAAGAGCTCAAAGCAAAAGAGGTGATGTGAGTGGAAGACCTAAAATCTAAAGAAGAATTATTAGAGATGGGAGCTAAAAAGTAATGCAAAAGGTTAACTCAGCTAAAAATCAAATAAACGCACAGTAATAGAACAAAATATCATCTTAAAGCAAGTCAAGAGCCAATAACAGACCTTAAACTATTACTAGACAAAGTAGTGCCTCTGATAATAAGTAAGGGAGTAAGCCTGCACCTAAGCAGTTTAACATAAGAAATAAAAAGTAGGTTGTAAGGAAAAATAGTAATACTTCGCAGGTATCTCAGATATCTAAACCAAATAATGACATATTGGCTCAGCTGCATGAAGAAGATAAAAGACTTAATATTGTAGATCAGAGCGATGAAATAGAAAACTAGGTTAATGATGATAATGATTTGGAGCATCATCAAGTTTAAGCGGAAAAGGATGATAAACTTCTGCATACAATCAATGAAGAAATAAGTCACTCATAATTTGATAACTTCCCAAGCTAAATGCCAAAAGTCAAGTAATTTTGATTCAATTGTTTAAATATTTTTAGAAATATGCAGGGACCTTTGAACAAGTAAGATGATATTGTAGAAGAAGAATAGATCTAGGATGAAATTAATATGGGCTACGATGAGGACTTTGAAGATCCTGTAGGTGAGTCAAGAACTGAAATGCATAACTTGAACCTCTAGGAATCCTCAATAAAGAATGATTTTGAGCTTTAAAATAAACTAGCATCACCAAGTATGATCTCATAAAAGCATTCAAGTGAGATCGGAACTGGTGCAAATGACAATATTACTGAGAGTTAATAAGATTAGCAACAGAATCAAAAGAATGTATTTGCTAAGCCATCATTTATGATGAAAAAGAAAAGATGAGGAATTAACAAATTACATCAACTTTAGCGAGTTATCTCTAAAAAAGTAGGTACTTAATCATGCTTTATCATCTAAATTGTCTACATAATATTTCTTTAATATATCTTTAAAATTCTGATTGTCGGGGTTTTGGGGTTTTGGGGTTTTGGGG